TGTGTGTGTGTGTGTGTGTGTGTGTGTGTGTGTGTGTGTGTGTGTGTGTGTGTGTGTGTGTGTGTGTTAAATCGCCTTCATGTATGTGAATGTTTGAGCTTGTGGTAAAAAAAAGACAAGTAAATGTCATCATTGGAGGTGGGGGTAGCTTACACAAAGTGACAGTGTGTTTGACAATGATCATTGTGTCAGGGCGCTCTCATGTATGAAATCCTGACTTCCAGTTTTGAGCAGACCATATTGTTTGAACAGAACATGTTGATAAAGCAAAAAGAAAAAAAAAACTGAGCCCAAATGACTTACAGTAAAAACATGTTTCAATTCGGCATTCACAGACAGTTTTATTGGCTTAAAATTACATTTTACTGTATCAGCGTTAAACAAAGGCACACCATTCTTTGAAAGKGTACACAACACCCGCTACTTTGCATTTCAAAGTTTTACACATCACAAAATACTACCACACTGCATCAGTTGTTGATGGATAAGAGTTATAATCTTGATGAGTAAAATAAGAAAGAAAAGTGATAAAATCTTAGTATGAGCTTTAAACACACATTCTGATAAACGATCAACTCAGCACACAGATAAATACTCAAATCTCCAGTTTTGGTCAGTTTTGATGCCATCCATCTATTTTCTTTACTCTCTTCTTCATTCCACGATGATTTGGGCAGAGGCAGGGGGACACCCTGGACAGGACGAGTCCATCACAGGGACAYGTGGAGACGTGTGAGACAAACCACACTCACACCTAGAGACAATTTAATTTATAGTTACCAATTAAACTAACAACGTACGAAAACATCCAAACACCACACAGGAAGGCCGGGAAGTGATCTCACTGTGAAGCAGCAGCTCTAACTGCTGTACCACCGTGCAGCCCGGAAAAATATGAGGACTCCTTCCAATGAATTTCATCGTTTCAAGCCCTGATGACCAAACGGAAAAAACTTTATTCAGTTTGTATCCAGTTCTGGTTGTTTGACGAACCGTTTATTGACTTTAATAGACATGAAATACTGTCTTAAAACTAAATTAATGTATCTGAAGTGCCTAAAGGTAATGGAATATAAACTCTTTTATTTAATTTAACTAGAAAAATCTGCTATCAGAACTCAACTCTTCAATCAGCATAATTTTTTAAACTAGATGATGTAACTTTCTTGTCCAAAACAAGCTATTATATGACATTATATTCAATGTAATGATAATTTACATACCTAAAAATATGTTTTGTTAGATTCTGCATACTATCAGCCAAGTTAGCGTCAAAACATTTGAAGCCATTTCCTTCAGTGGAAGTATGTTTTTAGATCTTTAAAGGGGCAATATTATGTGTTTCTCAGGCATACATTTAAATACTATACCATAATACAGTATCTATG